TCAGGGTCCAGTCGCTGACTGTGAGAGATCTCACTTTGGGCATCCCCTGTTTCGAAGAAAACGAGCAGGGTGATGAATCGATTGGAAGAATCGATTGGGAGGAGCTAGGCCGTTCGCGGTTAGTCCTCCCTGCGCAAGTGCAGACCGCTTGTGCTTCCGAGAAGGCCTACTCCGCTGAAGCGTGTGAGGACCTAAAGGAATTGATCGGGCGTCTTCAAGACGAAGACCTCGAGACCCAGCGCCGAAAAGCTGCCGTAGAGCAGGCGAAACGCGGTTTCATGGGCTGGAAGATCGGACACGATAAGCTCCTCCGATATAAAGACCGAGTGTATGTCCCTGCGGGGAGTAACCTACGGCAAGAGTTAGTGAGCATTCACCACGACGACCCTATTGCAGGCCATTTCGGCCGAACCAGGACCCTTGAACTGGTTAAACGTAAATATCACTGGCCGAATCTGCACCGAGACGTTGTCGAATACGTGCAGAATTGCCAGGTATGTCAAGGAGTAGTAGCACGAAGGCATAAGCCCTACGGCGAATTGCAACCACTCCCTATCCCGTCTAGACCCTTCGTGGAAATTTCAATGGACTTTGTGACTGGCCTGCCACCGGTGACCCTTAACGAAAAGACTGTGGATGCAATCCTTGTTATCGTCGATAGGTTCACGAAATGGTCGCTATTCCTCCCCGTATCTACCACGATCACGGCGGGAGAACTCGCAGAACTAGTCCATAACGAGGTCGAATTACGTTTCGGCCCTCCCGACGGGATTGTTTCCGATCGAGGATCAGTTTTCACAAGCAAGTTCTGGTCAAAGCTATGTTACATTACCCAAGTGCGCCTAAGGCTTTCAACGGCGTTTCACCCCCAAACCGATGGCCAAACGGAACGCGTTAACCAAACACTTGAGCACTACCTACGATGTTTCATCGGTGACGAACAGCCTAGCTGGCCAAAGCTGCTCAAATCTGCCGAATTTGCGTGTAATAACGCTGTCAATGCCACAACCGGTGTCTCACCCTTTCAAGCACTTCTTGGTTACTCACCAGACTTCCGTCAACGAATCGAGGACGATCCGGCATTGAGGGAGGTACCCGCGGTATCCGCACGAGTAGAGAAGCTTGAAAAACTCCGCATAAAGCTGAAGACCCACTGGCGAAATGCAGTCGAAACTATAGCGAAACACTATAATAAGAATCACAAACCCCTGACACTGAAGAAAGGATCGCTCGTCGGCCTCTCAACAAAGAACTTGAAGCTAAAGGGAAGCAAGAAGTTAACCCCGCGCTTCATCGGGCCCTTCCGGGTTATTGAGACGATTGGTCAGCAGGCCTACCGCCTAAGTCTACCCGAACAATACAGCCGAATCCACAACGTCTTTCATATATCCCTTCTTGAACCATGGCAGAAGACCCACATTACTACTACCGAATCAATGCCGTTACCACAGCTCGAGGATAGCGAAGAATACGAGGTAGAGGAGGTCCGCGATGAACGAAAGATCTCTAACGAAACCCACTTCCTCGTGAAATGGAAAGGATGGCCCTCTGAATACAACCAATGGGTATCCCACGAAGATATGGAGAACGCTACAGAAGTAATACAATCCTATAGGAAGCGACAAAAGGGGAAACGCTCTGAATTCAATACCGGAAGAAACCAGCGAAAACCCCTCGAACCGCAGACTAAAACAAGAAGATTTCCTCGCAATAAGAAACTGTAAGGTCAGCCACGAAGCTGGGTTCCACCGGAAACAAGACGCGAGCGTCAAACATCAGCACCCACAGCAACAAAGCCGCCACCAAGGAACGCAACGAACCACCAGCGAAACCATAACGAAACTACCTAGCCTCGCTAGGTAAAGGAAGGGCAAAAGGCAACTCTAGATCCGCTCCAGGGACAGAGGGAAATCAATAATTGTCCGCTCCTCCAACTCATCTCCGCCGATGGAGGCATTATCATCCGCATCCGAATCAAGGTCATCCTGGGCCTCGCGAACCGCCTCCGAAATGCCATCGAAAAAGGCCCGTTTTCCGATTGTCCAAGTGATGTATCCCTCGTCGCCGGGAAGCAGGCGAAGGAGTCGCTTAGAGAAGCGCTCTGCCTTCTCCCTAGCAGTATCAAAGGGACCAGGGGGCAGGACAACAGGAAGCCCAGTCCGACGGACCGCGAGAAGCGCATCGTATTCGTCTTGGGTTTGCTACCGAAACACTAGTTAGAACGCGCCGAAACCCGCGACCTATGGATCCTACCTTGATATTGGTCTTAGTCCCGGTTAACTTGTACTGCTTGCGGTGAGCCTGCTCCGAAACGTCGAAGCAATGCGCCAGATGCCTCATCAATTCGGCGACCTTTCGGCGGAGCTCCGAGGGATAGGGCCAGTCCAGGAAATTATCCGGGTCGTCCGGGTCTATCTGCGATGTCCAGAACAGGTCCCGGGCCCATGCAAACGCGGTACTCATATCCTGACAATCCCCCAACATAGCGGTTGCAGCCTGTGGAATCATTAGCCTATACCCTCAAGGAAACTTGGCGAAACCCACAGGAATACACGTCGAAGCGCGAGAGGAACACTGGCTACACGCAACCGAAGCCTTGGCGTCCTGGACACATTCGATGGAAAAGGGCCAGTCTTCACGGGGATCCCAGTCGATAATCGCGGTGCGGACACAGTGCATACACCAGAGGATCATCAGGTAGACCGGGTTGTCCGCAAGGGGACGAGTCCCGGCGCGGGGTCGTCGAGGCATCGTGGGGGTTTCCAAACCAAATCGAGGGGTATTCGTTGGCGAAAAGGCGCGTGGTTATGAGGTCTTGGAAAGGGGGAGAAAGTTGGTAGAGGTGTGAAAGAGGAAGGGGAACGAGAAGGAGAGGGGGTCTCTTTGTAAACAAAGAAACGCGATATCTTTGTTTGCCCTATCCCACCAGTTACCCTTTCTGCCTATCCACCTCTGATTGGCTACTCCGCTACGTGGTTGGTTACCCCTACGTGTTGTTTACATCTTCCGTCGCTCGTGGGCGAGCGAGCCCTTAGAGGGGGGATAATTGTTATGATATCCTGATATTGAGGTTATTCGCAGACTGATGCCCCAGGCCGCACGAGGCCCGGGCGTTCTGCCAAGAGGGTGCCGACCCGGCGGTCAGTCGACAGCTCCTCGGTGGCGTATCTAAAGGGCTACCCTGTCGGTAGGCCACGTTGGCTGGTTACACAACCTTTCAGCTCATGCACGCTCATACCGTGGTTACCCCTCTTCTAGTTCCCTGTTTTGTATGAGAGACTGTATATAAATTTGGGACCTTGAGGAGTAGGTTCAGACTCCTCAAGAAACAGTCTTGCCACGAATTTCACTAGGTGCTTCCAACCTTACCTGATCAACAGGTTTTCTACCCTGCAAGTAGTTATCTTTACATTTGTCAACATATGGATGTTATGGGGTCACATGACGAAGGACCCACTCATATAACCCCTCTCTACATCTAGATCTTCTCTATAAGATCTATCAGATTGATCCTCAACGATCTTGCATTGAATTGCATACTCGCATTGAATTGCCTATCTAGGCAGGAGACTATCTAACACTCCAATACTTTATCCTTTCTTATGTGATCTTCTACCATGTTTCCAAGATATAAATACTGCTATGTTTCCTAACTAAATTGAATCAAGTTTATCATCCCTTGTGATCTCTCTTCTAGATCGGTGGTACTCTTCCACAATCGTGGTACTTCTCCTTCTTAGAAGTGCGCACGACCGATAGACTCATAACCGTGTATTCAGACACTACGTTGAGTATTTACCCTTATGCACACTATCTTCTTGTGTGTATAACCACGACTTTATGGTCACCGCCTAAAGTCCAACAGATGTTATGGGGTCACATAACGAAGGACCCACTCATATAACCCCTCTCTATATCTAGATCTTCTTCTCTATAAGATCTATCGAATTGATCCTTAACGATCTTACATTAAATTATATACTCGCATTGAATTACCTACCTAGGCAGGAGACTATATAACACTCCGAAATACTCTCGATCTTTCATATAATCTTTTACTATGTTTCCTAAGATATAAATACTACCCTATTTCCTAGCTAGATTGAATCAAGTTTATTATCCCTTTTAATCTCTCTTCTAGATTAGTAGTGGTTCCGACTGAACCCACAGGAAGCTGCAAGGGTACATACAAATTCCTGTGGGATTCATATGATATTTATGGGACGGCTTGGGCATCTTGGGATTCCGGTCAGAAGAGCCTAAGACCGAATTCGACAAGCTGCTTCGGCTTGGGATTGACAAAGTGGAAGTTTGAGTACTATGACGAGCCCGATTCGAATGGCATGGAATGGCATGCTTCGTAAGTGCATTCAATTTCCCAGGAACACTACATTCTACAACTTTTCTAACACGTTTCTCCAACATTTTCGTCTTGCGCAGATTCCGTTCACCTATCTGGACTCGAGCCAGGTGTTATAATAATAATAAGGTCCAAGCTGCGTCTGGAGGGCCGGGCTCGGGAGGTTGCTCTGGGAATGGATAAATTGAACAGGTGGAGCATTCGCCGGTTTCCTTTTGTGTGAAAGTCAGGTCAAAGAGAAATCCACCGCGGAAGGAAAATATTTTCATTCCGTCAACTGGTGTCGAAGAAGGCGAACCGATAGTATATTGAACTGACCCTACGTATTGAAAGGGATTCTCTACGATTCAGACTAGATTATCTTCCTGTAGAATCAATTTCCAGCTTGTAAAAGAGACATGACTGGTACAGACATCTTATAGAATTACCCGATTGAAGGTCTATAGAACTGCCCTAGCAGTGCTTCAGCCACTTGCTTAGATGCATCACAGTAGGTAGTCCTGGGATGACGTAGCCATTCTTATCCACTTTTGGCTTAGACCATGTCGACCCCGCTAACATTCATGCCAGCATCTCATCATCAAGGGGGAGGGGTGGTTGAAGGGCAGTAAAGAAAACACTAACTGGGATCTCAGCCACGATGAATATATCAAAAGAGTTTGCGTCGTGGTTCTCTCCATCATATATCAAGTTGGCAACCGCTCCACGGGTCGGCGATAGAGCCCCATCTGACCCAAAGTTGGTGTTTCCCACTGAAAATAAAAAGCCAACTGTCGTAGCTTGCCTCCGTCACTGCGGATGTCCATGTTTGTTTGCATCAAACCTCATTAACACTAAAAGCTGGTACTAACTTTCATGCCGGCAGTCTCAGAGGCAACCTTCCTTGCGATGCGTACCGCAGCCACCCAGCACCCCAATATCAGCTTCATCGCCATATCTCATAGTGACCAGCAATCAACCGAGAAATGGCTCGCTGATCTTAAAGGTCCAGGTTCAGTGACCGTCGTCGTCGATGCAGAGCGTTCAATTTACGCGAAATGGGGTTTAGGTGTGGTCTCATGGGGTCATGTCATCAGTCCAGCAGCGCTAGTGAATGCCTGGAAGCTTGGGAAGGAGCAGGGGATTTGGAATAGGCCTACAGAGAGTGGAAGTAGGTGGCAATCCGGTGGTTACTGGGCTGTTGATCAAGAGGGGTATGTACGGTGGGGATATCCTGCAGCCAGAGCAGATGATGTGTTGAACGTTGATGAGGCCGTGAAGACATTACGAAGGCCTCATGAGAGGCTCTAAGAGACTAGGGTCTTTCATAGGGGAGGTTTTAAATGAAGCAAGTAATAAATGGTCAAAATATAGCACAGGGATATCCTTTCCTGCCAGTAAACACCTTATGGAAACGAAAATGGTCGACGGAGAATCATTATTAACGCCATGAGAGTCCCGCTTTCAGAATGGTTGCTGTGAAAACAACGCGCTCGTCATTGTATTGGTTCATACTGAAGCTGTTTAGGCCGAAGCCGTGGAGCCTGAGGCGGCTGAGGCAGCTCATACCGTGCCTGTGGAAACTCAGTGATTGGGTTATAGAAAACTGGTCTATATCCAGGCAGTAAGTTGGAAGAAAGCGGTCGATACTGCGGTAGTGGTCTATTCTGAGACGGTTGATAGGAGGGTGGGAAATGACTAGGGCCGCTAGTGCGAGGTACTACCGATCTCGAAGGCTTGTTCTCGTAGAGTGGATCTGTCAGGGTGGTGAAGTAGACTTCATCTCCAGCATTAGACCCAATATTGAAGGATGAAATATCCAACAAATCTGTAACTGGTCGTTGTGCTTTCGGAGAAGGTGGGCACTGTGTGTCATATCTCATCGGTGGAGTGAGATACGAAGAGTGCGATTTGTGCCGAGAGGGTGTGATATTGTAGACTGGCCGGATCGAATCATCCTCTGAGCCGTCGACAATGCTGCTTCCATCCGCATTGGACAGCATGAAGAGATTGGGTATCTCAGCGTCGTACTTGCATATGGCGCAATCCGTCGAGGCCGGATGCAAAGCTTGGTTATTAACAGCAAGGGGTGCGATTGAAAGGATGTCCCCAGCTTCAATCTTATCGTGACTGGATATGCCCGGTCCACCATCATCACCTAGTGCCATGCTAGGCTGTGCCGTGGATGGCTTGCGATGAGTGAATCTCCTTCTGCCTGTGCGAGCTGTCCTTAATTCGTGGGTAGCATTTCTTAGATAGTTAGAGCGTTGTTCTGGGCTCAATTGTTCAAAGTGAGGCTCGAGCGCTGCCAGCCGGTCGAAGTCGTGCCGGTTTAAATAAAGATTTTGACGAGGGTGCTCAGGCAGTTTGTTCCAATCGTCGTATTTCTTCCAATCGAGGATTGAATTTGGACTTAACTCCAGGGGCTGACGTACTTTGGACATCAGTGTGAAAAAGGACCGAGCCTGAGAAGCAGGGTCTAGAGCTGAGCTCCCGCCGTGTTGCTTGTGTTCCAAATCAGGAAGGCTATAGGGCTCTTCATAGGGTAACCCTGCAGCAGGGTCTGGCCATTTCGAGCATTCCGCAATAGGAGGTAAAGCGATAGCGCTGTCCTCCCCCCGTCTGGCGCCAGATGTCTCTGAATGGTGCTGAGAATGACTGGCCGATGCCTCTGGAACAGATCCGGTGTAATTCCGACACTCTGTAAATCTTTCCTTAGACCTCTCCACGCCTCTTTCTCGTCCGCATCAAGCGATCCCGTCGATACACACGACATGGCCGCGCCTTCACGCTTCCCGCTCTGACATTCCTTGATGTAGGTCTTCAGCATGCTTACGACAGTTTCTTGGGACGAGCTGTTATGTTTTAGTCAAGGATCGAAGGCGTCTCGTCGCAGGGATACACATACCGTATCATGTTGGTGTTGAGAAGATTCAACACCTGTATATATGACGAGAACCTGGCTCTGATTTCCGCCAGTTCCCCCACTCCCCACCCCATTCGTTCCCATGTCGCCTGTGTTTGAAAGCCAACTTCATCGTAGTGCGTCTTCAGTCGCTGGAGGTCCTCGAGGACCCCGTGGCATCCGATTAATACATCGTTCAGTTCGGGGCTTTGACGATCGCTTGGACTGGCGTTTGATATTTGTTCCTCCGTTATCTTTAACACGGAGAGGAGAAGGCCGAGTTCATTCCTGACTTGGGTGAATGTATCCGGTGCGTTGAAAAGGGATTTATAAATGGAGTCAGCTAGTGGGCGGATGGCCGTAATATTTTCTGGGAATTTTCAGCGATGGACAAGAACAGATCAGGTCTAAGACTTAGGTCGTACGGATATTAACGTCGCCTGCAATATGGAACTGCGCTTCAATCTGACCGTGGTTGATTCCGACTTGAAATCCCGAGTTCGTATCACCTAAGGATATCGGTGGAGTCATTCTCACAATACGTACCACATGGCATATCCGCGGATGTCAGAGACTGAGTGAGGATGGATGAGATGGTAAAGAAGAAGTCGACGAGAAAAGCAACCCTGGTGAGCCCCATCTCACCGTCAGGTGATTCCAGGGCGAACTAAGCGCCCAGGGTGCCAAAATGGTTTAGCCTATACTGTATACATGATATAGGGACGGAGTCCATGCGCGATAGGAGTTCTAGTGTTATAAGTTCAAATCAAACACCCTCTATCCCTTATGCTTCATAACCCTATTTGTACAGATCTGATATAACGCGTTTACAATGGAACGCATTGCCCGGGGTAATGCAAGTCAATCCACATCTCACGCCCGCATATGCTTCAATATCATCTTCAACCGCCTCACGGCCGGCCCATCATTGTCATCCTCCTCCCGTCCCTCCGACTTCTTCTCTTCAATCTCTGCCTTGGCCGCTTCCAGCGCAGGCCGTAGGTAGCCCCAGACTTCATCATGGTACCGCTCATGTACAGTAACCCAGTCTTCCGCACCGGGGAGATATTCGAGAACCGAGTCGCGGAGGGACATAGCCGACGCAGCAACTGTACCCGTGCTCTGGGTAAACGCAGACGGGTCGTTCTGCTGGAGAAAAGTGTCTATATCCGGGACAAGACTGAGACTCGACAGGCCAGGCTGTTGGTGCTGGGTATTTGGGTCCGTCGAGTCCCCAATCTGCCGTCGAAATGAGTCTAGCATCTTGATCTCTGCAGCCGTTAGTGGCGGTGGTGTCGCGGCCATATCAATATCCAGATCCTCCGGGCCCCCAAAGTCCGGATCGAACGACGTATCCTTGAGCAGAGACACCACTGCGGCACCGTCGCTGGCTTGTGCCTCGTACGTATGTACCTGAGACCCGGGGTAATCTGCGCGCTCCCAGGCACTGGTATAATCCAGTTGCATCGGGTCATGCGCCCGCTGCTTGCCCTTCCAATTCCCAGTTTCGCCTTGTAAATCCGACAGACTCGTATCACGGTACGCATTCCCTTGTTCGCTGTCCACCCGCACACCCATTTCATCCGTATACGCGCCCAATCGCTGAAACGCCTCCTCCGAGAGCGCAGGAATCTCAACCCCGCCAGTCCTCTCGCTCGAGGTCTCGCGAAAGGACTCCGCACCTAGCCCGGAGTACCCTGCCCGAGCACCAGCACCCGCTCCAGCACCAGACCCTCGCGCACCGATATCCCGACTAACCAAACCCCCCAAACCCGGCGACGCAAGTGCCGACGGCCCAGCAGCCTTCCCCTGCATCGCGCCGGCTAACGTTCGCGCCGCATCCGAAGACGAGCCCGCACCCTGCATCGCGCTCCAGGCTAGCCCGGCCGCGGAACTCTGGATGCGACTCGCTAGCGAGGGTGTGTCATTACCGCTCGTCGAGACGGGTTTACTCGGGGCGGTTGTATCGGGTATCGTGGTTGTTATTGGGGTCTCGTCGTGGTCGGGATTGGGGCGGCGGGTTGAGTCGCGGGTACCCCGCATGTTCTCCGGGTCGTCGGGCATGATATGATGGCTTGGTGGTTTCTGGCGGTGTGGGTGTGCGCCCGATGTGAGGGTTTTTGGGTGACGGGTTTAAGGGTTTGATGGTAGGTGTAGAGGTGAACTGGTGCTAGGTAAAAGGGATTGAGGGTTGTTTGTAGGGAGGTTTGGGGTTCATGGCTTGAGAGGATTGGAAAATGGGAGGGTTCGGTTGAAGGGAGTGCTGGGCCGGACGAAGTAGGAAGGGAAGCATGTGAAGGGTGGATAGTTAGGGCTGAGGTTGGAGGTAGTGATAAATACCTAATATCCCAGTGTCAGTGGGGTTATTATTAGTTAATAGGGAGGTTTTTATTATTCTAGAAACAATAATTATTAGTTTTGTCTGTATTTTGAGCGTGGGTACCCAAGGTTGATGGATATAGAAGAAGCGTCCTGAGTATGACGCGATATATATATTTGTGTAGTATAGCCGAGTTGTATCTACCGGCAAGCCCATATGATAATTTTCTCCTTTCAAGACAAATATTCACAACCTCGGCTGGTCATTTAAGTGTCCAAAAGCCGCTCCAATACTTATGATAGGTGCAATGCTTGAAATTCGTGGATATTTACTTGGACCCCCGATAGGATGACGACAGAGGCGGAGATCCGATGGGACAAAGCTGCAGCTGCCTAGGGAAAAGAGTATCGAATCTACGCACATATCAAACTGATCACATTTCCTTGTAATTGGCCTGCATATTGATAGATTTGAATTTATCAATTGATTTATTTTCCTTGAAATAATCATTTCCACTAAATACCAAATTGGTCAGGAACCAGCAGTCCCGTAGCTGTCTGCTTCGGGCCATGTTACAGCGGTCTGCCAGTGTTGATGTCAGCATTGGCGGTCCACGTTTGCAACGACGAATTTTCATGGGCGAATGGGACTCTAGACTCTTGTCTGCCGAGAGCTTTCAGGACCAAATTAGTTTTTTTTTTCTTTCATCTTGATAGTCATCGTTGGAAAAAGTGAATACAAAGCGAGCGAGGGCGAGAGATTTTTAGCTGGTCAACTGGCAACGACTGTAGAGACTTCCCCCACCACCGCCTCACCTCTTCACCTTTTCCCGCCCTTCAAACCTCCAAACCCAACCACCACCACCACCTCTCTGCCTCATCCACCCAACCAATAACTCTACCTCGTATGCAATTTCCTCTTTCTTTTCTTTTTCCTTTTCTCCTAATCTCCCTCCCCTGCGTATCTTCTCTCCTCTCAGTCCTTTCCATCCTAACTTGGCATGCCGTCCAGGTCTTTCCTATGATCCCCTCTCAAGCTCTTCTGCTGCGGGTCCACTCATAACAACCGGGTCGTTTGCTCCTCTTTTCAACCAACTCCCCTCCTCCACTCAACTCCTCCACCCCCCATCCTGGTCCATCTGCGTTGTCCACCACACCAGGACTGCCATCCGTTCATCCTAGCTTCGAGTTCCTCGGGCTGTTTTCCTGCCCTACTTTCTTCCTCCCCCCCCGCTTCCTCTCCCCTCCTCCCCCCCCCCTCGCGATCTCTCGTCATCGGTCTCGAGCCCCTCGTCCCCCCATCGACCGATCAAGTGTGACCGGCTTAATCGACTCTCGCCTTTTGCCTCGTGGAATCTACCAGCTTCCCATCGCGCGGTCTTCATCTGTCCGACCGGTTCCGTTTTGTCGTTCACTCTCCCGAATCGGCCCTCTTTCAGAATCTTTGCATCGTCTCCGATAGAGCTCTTGGAGACTCAAAAAAACTCCCTTTGCCAGGCCGATCTCTTCCTCGTCTCCCCGACTGCATTCTTTGCGACCCTTAGGGCGACCCTAGAACGAAAAGATGGTAGACAGAGATCCAGGCACACCCACCTGGAAGTTCACACAGTGAGTCGCCGCCGAATATTGGAGCTGCGATCCCGTGGTTCTGTCACCTTTCGTTCACCGGAATTTGTCGGTGATACGTGAAGTAGGCGAACATTTGACTGATATGGTCCTCCCCCAGATGCTTTGGCGATAAAGGTGATGTAGAAGATATCACAGAAGGTAAACCCTCCAAAACTGCTCGATCAGCCTACACGGAGGAACAGACTAACTCAAGCTTCCCCCGCAGCTGACATCATCTCGACCGTTGAATTCGACCACACCGGTAATTATTTGGCTACGGGAGACAAGGGTGGACGTGTGGTTTTGTTTGAGCGGAACGAGACGGTATGTTCCTCTTTCTTCTCTTCCTTAGCCCTTCTGCACGTCAAGTCTTCCGGCCAAAGCTCCCGTGCTAAAATGAATCGCCATTACAGAAAAAAACCTGCGAGTATAAGTTCCACACCGAATTCCAATCCCACGAGCCGGAATTCGACTACCTCAAATCCTTAGAGATCGAAGAGAAGATCAACAAGATAAAATGGTGTCGACGACAGAATGCATCACACTTCCTCCTCTCTACAAACGACAAGACCATAAAGCTTTGGAAGGTATTCGACAAGTCTCTCAAAGTGGTGGCCGAGAACAACCTGTCGAATGAGATGACTCCGGCCGGTGCCGTGGGTGGTGGTGGCCTGCCCCGGGCACCGCGGGGAACCTTCAAGGATGCCGGAGCTCTGAAGATGCCACGCCTGACACACCATGATACCGTCGTTGCCGCCGTCCCTCGCAGAACGTATGCGAACGCCCACGCCTATCATATCAATAGCATCTCCGTGAACAGCGATGGCGAGACCTTCATCAGCAGTGACGATCTCCGAGTCAACCTGTGGAACCTCAACATCCAGGACCAGAGCTTCAACATTGTGGATATCAAACCTGCCAACATGGAGGAACTTACCGAGGTCATCACGGCAGCCGAGTTCCACCCAGTCAGCTGTAACTGGTTCATGTACGCCAGCTCCAAGGGAACTATCAAACTGGCCGACATGCGCCAGCGCGCTCTTTGCGACGAGCATGCCAAGTGTAAGTTGAAACCTGCCAAGTCTAGCACTTGCTTGACTCCCTAATTTAGTCGCCCTTTTGTACTTATACAATCTTCTCTTGACCAGTGTTTGAACAAGAAGAGGATGCTTCCTCCCGCTCATTCTTCTCCGAGATCATTTCCTCCATCTCCGACGTTCGATTCTCACACGACGGCCGGTACATTGTGTCAAGAGACTACCTGACTGTGAAGATTTGGGATGTCAACATGGAACGTCAACCGGTCAAGACGATTCCCATTCACGAACATCTGCGGCCGCGCCTCTGCGATACGTATGAGAACGACAGCATCTTCGACAAGTTTGAGGTGGTCTTCTCCGGTGATGCCGAGAACGTGATGACTGGCAGCTATAACAACAACTTCATGATCTACCCCACGGATGAGCAAAAGGAGACGGAGATTGTGCTGCAGGCGGATAAGTCGGCCTTCAAGGCCAAGAAGGTCGGCGTACCGACTCCTATGAACAAGGGCAATGCGAAGAAGGCCGGCTCTAGGTCCGGCAGCCCTGCTGGCCCCGGCAGCCGGATGAAGAAGGAGACCGATGCCGACCAGATCGACTTCAACAAGAAGATCTTGCACATGAGCTGGCATCCTTTCGAGGACAGCATTGCGATTGCGGCTACAAACAACGTAAGTTTCAGCCTTGGACTGCGGTCCCTCTTCGTGACGACTTTGAAGCTGGATACTAACTACGACCCATCTGAATCTAGCTCTTCGTCTTTTCTGCTCTGTAAGCGGCATCGAGTCGCTCATTACATCGGAACTCCCCATACAATGCTCTTATGGACAGGTGCATCTTGGCGATGGGATCGGGTGGTTGGTGGAAGGACTGATGATATTGGCGGGAGAGCGAAACGAATGAAAAAAAGACGCAACCAACAAAAAATGAAAGCAAAAATAATGGCCATAGCAGCACCCCCAGATTCCATAATCTCAGGACTTTCCCTTCAACCTTACTCGCCTCCTCTTTTTTTTTTGTTCACAGAGGACCCATCATTCCCCAAGTGTCCGCAAGGCGCTCTGCTTGAGCTTCAGCTCCAGCTCCCAGTTTTTCTTTTTCTCTTTCTTTTGACAGTCCTCTCTCCTCTTCCATCGCCATATCGTCCTCTCTTGGTTTGTATGCAATTTTTATTAGGTATTCCACGGGCGTTGTACGGAGGCGCTTCATGATAGAGAATGTTAAGCCTGCTTGGGGCGTTTTTCATGACGGCTTTTCCTTTACGTGTTGTGTGGGTAGGGGGTACGAATGATGGAGTGATTCCTGTCTTCATGTCCCTTCATGATACCTTTGTCTCGGATGGATGGGTTTTTAATGCGCTTATCTTTTAAACACTCCCTCCAAGTATTCTATATTCCTTCCTGCCTCTAAATTGGCGTATGATCAATCGACTTCCTCCAGCCCAAGCATCATCATGCCCACGCAAATTCCCCCGTTTCTGCCGGGTTTTTTCTGCCGGGCTTTGCGGGCGATGACGAAGGCGGAAGGAATCAGTCGTTCGCACAATACCGGCTATTACGGGATGGCACGTCCTTTGATGAGGACCCTATCTGATAATACCGTACCAAAATGTCTAATACACACGGACAATTAACGGCCCGAGGCACTTTACGCCTAACCGTAGTTGGATTAGCGGGAGTCGGTCAGGAAAGCCTCCACTGGAGAAGCCCGCGATCGGTCGCGCGCACTCTCTTGTCCCTAGACCTTGTCGTCGTCATCGCAGTTATTCCTCGTTGAGTGTCGAATATACCTCTCCTCTATTGTCCCAGGGCACTGGTCATGCTGTGACCCCAGCGCGTTCTGAGTGTTACCTCCCAAGCGAGCGAGAGTAGCGAAAGCCAGACCTCAGAGAAACAGCTGGAGCTCTCACCTGCGTCAGACGTTTCTATCCCACCCTCGACCCTCCCCCCTATTTTCCGCCCGTTTTTATACGCATATACTTTCTTGATCTTGCCTATCGGTGCAGATCCGAGTTCATGAGCTGATCATGAACTCTGGGAACGATTCCTGGCACTCCTCGGCCGGTGGGCCTCCGTCGCACCCTGGCATGGATCAGATGAATCAACAGCCACGACCTTTGGGGTCGTTCAGGTAGGAGATATGCTCCTTCAGACTAATTGCATTGTCGGGCGCTAATGTTGGATCCTTTTATTTATAGTCAAAATCCCCCTCAGCAAGGCCCGGCGTCGCAACCCTCTGGGCCCGTTCTCCCTCCTCCATCTGGTTAGCAAATCCCCGTGCAATCTTTCGACAGCTGTAGACCTCGACTTCGGGCGTCGAATCGTCTGATCTGGTAGGATTCATGATCTAACCTTTTTGCGCTCTCCATAGGCCCCTACCACCCCGGTGGTCAAGCCGGTCACTCCCTCCCCGGCCTAGCGGAATTGAGCCAGAGCCACGGTGCTCCCCACCAACCTCCTGCGTACGGACAGCACCCGGCAGGCCCGACTCATGGCGCCGGCCACTCCCTTCCCGGCATTGGCCAGGCCATGTCGCATGCTTCACCACAGTCTCTGAACCGGGAGCGTGAGCGGGACTCTCGAGAGCGCGAGATTCTCGAGCGCCAGCGCCAGGAAGAGATGGCGCACCGCGAGCGCGAACAGATGGAACGCCAACAGATGGAACGCCAACAGATGGAACGTCAGCGCGAGCATCATCCGGTTCAGAGCCACACCGGCTCGATTCCCCTCCACCAGCCCGTCGCGTCAAAAGTTCCCAATTCTATCCATGGTCCGAACGGTCTCCTGTCGAATCTCGGCACCAATCCACCTAATGGCCCGCAGGCTAACGTTCAAGCTTCCGGTGGACCAGCAGCTCTTTTCGGAGGACCTCAGATGCCCCACGGCGAGGGTACCCCGAGGTCGTACATGCAACACCCGGCAGGTCCTCCCATGATGGGATATAATGGACAGGGGCAGCAGATCCCCGGGAATGTTGCGGCCCTGGCTCAGGGTCAGCAACCCATTCTCAACGTAAGTGGCCCAATCGGGTTCTCACTGCACATGCCTTGGGCTCACGTACCGTTGGTGGAACAGGATGCCCTCAGCTATTTGGACCAGGTCAAGGTGCGATTTGTAGACCAGCCCGATGTTTATAATCGGTTCTTGGATATAATGAAGGATTTCAAGAGTCAAGCGTGAGTTTTTTTTTCATCCGAACTTCTCTTTCCTGTTTGGGAAGCCAAGGTTGAGGTGGCTGCCTGAGAGAGAGAACTAACCTCGAGTGAATAGCATTGATACCCCGGGTGTAATCCAGAGGGTTTCCACATTGTTCAATGGCCATCCCGCCCTTATCCAAGGCTTCAACACTTTCTTGCCTCCAGGCTACCGCATCGAATGCGGTACCGAAGACAACCCAGATGCGATTCGCGTGACCACCCCCTCGGGAACAAACACCCTGAGTATGCCCCGAGCGGGCCGTTCGCTTGATGCCGCTAACGATTTGGGTCCCTCTGGGGGCCTGGGTGCTCACCCTCGCTCTGACTATTATGAACAGTCTCGCCCTGGTTGGCAGCAGACTCAGCAGCAACAGCAGCAGGGTCATCAGCAAGGTGCACCTGGGTCGTATTCCCCCGGCTCGCGTATGATCGGTCCTTCTGGCATGTACCAACAGGAAGGGCAGGCCCCTCCTCAAGATCACCACTTTGCGTATCAAAGTCAAGAGGCTCAGGGTGCTTCGGCACTCTCCCATCCGCAAGATCACCGCGGTGTGGCCCAGTTGCAAGGAGCAGCATCGGCAGCGTCTGGATTAGGCAGACCGTCGATGCTCCCAGTTTCTGGAGGTGGGTCGACTCAGTCGATGAGTAGCCTAGCTGGGGTTGGAGGCATCCTTCAGGGCGGCCATGCGGATCTGAACAAACGGGGGCCTGTTGAATTCAACCACGCAATCAGCTACGTGAACAAGATAAAGGTTTGTCTTCCTCACTTCTCCGAACTCTATCCTAACCCACTTTTTTTCTGACATCCTCCCTTCTACAGAATCGTTTCTCTTCTGCGCCTGAGATCTACAAGCAGTTCCTTGAGATTCTGCAGACTTACCAGCGCGAGTCGAAGCCTATCCAAGACGTTTACGCTCAAGTCACTCAACTTTTCAACACTGCCCCTGACCTCTTGGAGGATTTCAAGCAGTTCTTGCCTGAATCTGCTGCCCACGCCAAGCAACAGGCTCAAGCACGTATGGCCGAAGAGGCTGCCCCTACATCAAACCTTCGGGGTGAGCCCGTGGGTTTGCCGTCTTCCACTCCCAGTCGTGACGTGAAAATGCCACCCCTCGGCCAGTTCAACGTCAAGGACTCCGGAAAGGAGAACAAGAAGCGACGAGGTGGTCCCGGTGTTGGCCTCTCGTCTGTTTCTGGTCCTTCTGGCGTTGATGTGGCTCGCATGCCCGATGCCCGTGGAGGTCCTCCTGCAGGCCCTTTCACTAATGGGAACAAGGTTCGTTTAACTCCCTTTTCATTGTGGTGTAGATATGACAGGCATGAGTGGCACTGTTGCCCGTGTCCTCTCACATCCACCTCTTTTTCCCACTTTATGATATCATTACTGACGATGAATTGCAGAGACCCAAGCACTACCATGGAAAGCCTTCTGGAGCTGACATTCCCAACGTGTCACCAACTCTGATCCCGGCTCTTCCTGAACCGGTTCCACCAAATGCCATGACCACGCCCAGTCAGGAGGAGATTGCCTTCTTTGACCGTGTCAAGAAGTTCATTGCCAACAAGCAGATCTTCAGTGACTTCTTGAAGCTGTGCAACTTGTACACGAACGACTTGATCGATCGTTTTATTCTTGTCAAGCGGGCAGAGGGATTTATTGGCTCTAATGCCGAGCTCATGAGCTGGTTCAAGCGGTTCATGAATGTGGAAGAGCCCGAAGACAAGACCATCGATCCCAAGCCCCAGACGGAGGCTGGTGTGGTGAACCTCGCCCATTGTCGGTCTCTGGGACCCAGCTATCGTCTTCTGCCTAAGCGCGAGCGCCAGAAGCCCTGTAGTGGTCGTGATCAGCTCTGCCATGATGTCTTGAACGACGAGTGGGCTTCACATCCTACCTGGGCCTCTGAAGATTCTGGTTTCGTTGCCCACAGAAAGAACCAGTTTGAAGATGCTCTCCACCGTATTGAGGAGGATCGTCATGACTATGATCATCATATTGAGGCTTGCACACGCACCATCCAGCTCATCGAGCCGATTTGCCAGCAGTTCTTGCACATGTCGGAAGCCGAGCGGGCCAACTTCAAGTTGCCTCCCGGTCTGGGTGGTCAGAGTGAGGCTATTTACCAGCGCGTGATCAAGAAGGTCTATGACCGCCAGCGTGGTGAGAAGATTATTCGCGACATGTTTGATCGTCCTTGCCAAGTTTTGCCTATCGTTCTCTACCGCCTCAAGCAGAAGCTCGAGGAGTGGAAGGCGTGCCAGCGTGAATGGGACAAGGTTTGGCGCGAGCAGATGCAGCGTGCCTACTGGCGCAGTCTGGACCACCAGGCGATTGCCACCCGCTCGACTGATAAGAAGCTGTTCATCGCGAAGAACATCCAGTCTGATATGCAGGCCAAGCTTGAGGAGACCCAGACCATGCGCAAGGGCGGTCTGAAGCCTCCAAAGCACCAGATGGAGATGAAGTTTAAGGATCTGGACGTCCTGTTGGATACTACTCATCTCCTTTGCTTGTATCTTGATCGGAGTACCTCTGGTTTTGGTGCAGACCCGTCTCGTCTGATCAGCTTTGTCAAGGACTTTATTCCTGTCTTCTTTGGACTGGATCGTGAATCCTTCCATGAGTATATGGATGAGCTGATGCTCAACGCGACCCCGGCTGAGGAGTTGGAGGATCAGTTCGGTGCTGATGATACTTCGATGGCTAGCCGGAAGGCTGTCAACACGCAGAAGCTGGATCTCTTGCGTGAGACTCTTGAGCGCAAGCTGGAGAAGGGCAATGGCCCGGTTCAGGAAGACGGAGCTGCTTCTAGTGCTGCCGCTGCTGCGCCTGCCACCACCCAGCTCGCCACTCCAGACGTCCGGGCCACTTCAATGGCTGTCTCCGAGCCGGAAGATAACTTTGATGTCGCTGAGCTCAAGTGGATGGAGCACCCTGGTCAAGGCAACTTCAACCTTGAACGCGAGTACACTCTGAACGAGAAGTACAAGAAGACCGAGCACCAGATGTACGGCAATTTGAATCTCTTGTGCCTTCTGCGTACCTTTGAGATTCTGTACTCTCGGCTGCTCCGTATCAAGGAGCAGGAAGGAGAGGCTCACGAGCAGGTCCGCCGTGGCCTTCTTCCCAAGCCCGCTCACGAGTTGTGCCTGATTGACCGCTTCCCCGCCGACTTCTTCTACGATGTCGACCCCAAGGCCAACCTGTACAAGCAGATCGTGCGCATGTGCGAGGAGGTCATTCGTGGAGATATTGACCAGCTCCACATGGAAGAGACTCTCCGTCGATTCTACATGCAAGGCGGCTACCTGTTGTACAACTTGGAGCGCATCTTCTCGTCGATCGGCAAATTTGTGGCATCTATTTTCACTGGTGATGCCAAAGATCGCAGCTCGGATATTGCGAACCTGTTCTTCAAGGAACGTGAGAAGAATGAGACTACCCACCACCAAGAGATGCAATACCGCAAGCAGGTGGAGAGGATGATCAAGGAGGGCGATATGTACCGCATTACCTACGTAAGTATCTGTATTCGCTGAGAGTTGACAGTCATGTGCTAATCCAGTTTGTACAGTTCCCATCCGACCGCCATGTTACCGTCCAGGTTATGACCACCGAAGACGCCACGCTTGACAGCGACGAACTCAGCTCCGAGGCCCGCTGGTCCTACTACGTGACCGCTTACTCCATGCGCGATCCCACCGAAGGCGTTTCCTACTCCGACATGCGCATGCCCTTCCTCAAGCGCAACCTGCCCAACAAGCTTGACGAGGACGAGGAGTACGACCGATTCTACCGCCGCCTGCAACACCACGACGGCCTGATCATTCGCATCTGCGCCAACAACTATACCATCCTCTACCAACCGCCCAGCCACGATTGGTTCTGGCGCTCGACCGCGCCCGTCCACGACAAGGACGCCGACGCGGAGACTATCAAGGCCAAGGAAGAGCAACAGACCAAGGAGAAGGCCGCCTCCCGCGAAAAGCGCCATGATCGCTTCCTCGAGAAGTTCGTTAATAACCCCAACTGGGCTCGCGGTCTTAGTAAGGATAAGGTCGACGAGTCGAATCAGCGCTTCCGCTCTTGGTTGAATGGGACTCTTGAAAAGGAGGACTCTGCACCCGCCGAGGCTGCGGAGCCTGCTACTGCCGGTGCTGCCGATGACGTCCAAGGGGACGCTCAGCAGGCCGATGAGCAGGCTGATACCGATATGGCAGACGCTGAGCCTGCCGCTGCCGAGGCGTAAGCTGTTGGATCAATGAGATGGTGGGGAGGCTTTTGATAGGATTTTTTGTGCTTGTGTTGCGGGGAACAGGATGATACATGCATTTTGCCGGACTGATATGCGAGAAAGGGACGGCGTCTTTTCTTCTTCTTTCTTCTTTTTTTCAAATTCACATGAGGAAATTGCGCAATGAGTTTACACGGCTGTTTCTTCTATTTTTTCTTTCTATTACCTTTATTTTATGGTTTGTGGGTTTGAGATTCTTTTTTTTTCTCACTTAGCCGTCATGTATTCTATTGGGTTTCTTCTATTTTCATTCTGATTTCTCTCTTTACTCTTTATTTCTTGTGGGAGATTATGTATAGGGTAGGCCTTGTGTTATTCTGTTATGGTCGGTGGTTCGGGTTCCTCAGTCCTGGCACCGATGTCCACCGATGAATGCCGAATAACAACCGCTTCCTTAGTTCGTGGACGAGTATCCCCCTCTGCTGATTTCTCTGGGGATCTCTTCTGGGGAAGAGGAGAACCAATCAGGGGTAATTAATTGTCAGGGGTTAGGGGTTGCTTCTCTGGCCTGAGGCTAGCCAGCTTGTATGAGGAGCGCTTAAAACTTCTTGCACCCCACCCCGCCCCCTCTTCTTACTATTGAATGAATGTATTATTAGGTATTTATGTACGGTTAATGGGAATCTCCCTGGGCTAGGTTTAAGTATAGCATTGAATTATTTACTTAAGTGTAAAGCAGGTAGTATATTTAGCCGTGAAGTTCTTTTGTAAAGGGAAAACAGTATCTCTGCTAAGAGCTGGAATTTCAGTAGAGAACATAACCCTGCGTATGCGATTGAATAAAGACAGAATCTTCCAGGATCGCCCCTATCTAATAGCCGATAGTCGATAGTCAAAGTAATCACTGAAATCAACTCCCAAGACCACAGTATTTCTAAACAGTCAGATACTATACCCTCGGCCTCCAGATCAAACACAAGACTAAACCTCCGTGCGGCCGAACCCCAGTAACCGAAACAGTCCGAGACGGCAACGAATTTCAATGAAAGCAGTAAAAAAATGGATCTCCCCCGGGCCGAGTGGAGACTCAAGCGATCACCTGCGATCTAGGCGTGGGCGAAACTCGGCGATTAGTGTACACTGTACAATATTGAACAATTTGCCCATACAGCCTTTGTCTAATGCTCGGATCTAAGTGTTAATCGGCAAGGGAGTCGCCGAGTTGTGGCGATTCGCGGGGTATTTCAGGGGAGTATTTCGGAGCATGTAGGCTTTTTGGGAAGGGCGAGAGATGATACTTTGGTGGGTTGGTGAAGTCCGGGGGAATTGCGAGAAATTACCGGTGTCGCCGAGGGAAAGCCGAGCTGACGTCAAGATGAAGATGGAGTTGTACTAATTGGGATGTGGGGGGGGTTTCAGAGGAAGATCTGCTAATTTTTTGATGATTAGGAGTGGGAATAGAGTCAATTGGATTCAGAATCGGAGGATAATGTTGAGATAGTAGTTATGAATATATCTATGAATGATATTTATTGGTTACAGGTTATGGTGGTATAGTAACTGGAGGAAAGCCATAGGAAGCCCGCGGAAGAGAATAATAAAGAGTGGCACTCTCGTGTGGATTCTCGATTCTCCAGAGCTTCCCTTCTTCCGGTATTATTCTTTTCCTCATTTCTCTGGGCCCCAGTGGATCTGGATCACTTGCCTTCCATTCCTTTGGGCTGTGGGGTCAATTGGTGTTCGACCTTATTTAACGTCTCGTCTCCTTCCCCGGCCACTTTCTTTCTCTTCTGACTTCTTCCACTTTCCCTCTTCCAACGAACACTCTCACTCTCCACTCTTCTCGGAGTTCGTCTTTTTTTTTATTTCTGGTTTCACATATTCAGCATGGCTGCCTCCGCCTTGCTCAAGAGCCGAGTCCGCCGGCCTTCATATCTCAATAAGCTGGCCAAGGCTGAGGATCTCATTGACCTCTTCCCCCATGGCTCGTACATCGGCTGGTCTGGTTTCACGGGTGTGGGCTATCCCAAGTACGTATTTTGTATTTGCGCTTTACATTCTTCGCGTCGGGAACCCTGCGCATTGAATTATCCCCCGCTATGACATCAGTTAGGGTATGAAACTAATCCGCCGTGCTAATATAGGATGGTCCCCACCGCGCTCGCAGACCACGTCGAAAAGAACAACCTGGAAGGTCAACTTAAATACACACTCTTCGTGGGCGCCTCATCCGGCGCAGAGACGGAGAATCGCTGGGCTCGCCTGAACATGATTGAGCGCCGCAGCCCGCACCAGGTCGGAAAAGAAATCGCCAAGGGTATCAATAACGGACAAATCAAATTCTTCGATAAGCATCTCAGCATGTTTCCCTCGGATTTGGTCTATGTAAGTATAACGGGATTCATGTGCTGTACTACCGGCTAAGGCTCGGGGGTTCCCGCCGCGGAGACCGGAAAGTCGAGAATGATCGGCGCTAACCATTTTCCTTTTTCGATCAATCTAGGGCTACTATACTCTGAACAAGCCTAAGAACAAGATTGACGTGGCCGTTATCGAGGCTTCTGCGATTACAGAGAATGGTGGAATTATTCCCGGCGCCTCGGTCGGTGCTTCGCCCGAGTTGGTCCAGATGGCCGACAAGGTCATTATCGAGGTGAACACGTCGAGTCCCTCCTTCGAAGGCCTGCACGATATTGTGGGCTCCGATCTCCCTCCCGGCCGCAAGCCCTACCTGATTATGGCCCCCGAAGACCGTATCGGAACTCCCTATATCCCCGTCGACCCCGAGAAGGTCGTCGCCATCGTCGAATCCACCTACCCCGACCAGACCCAGCCCAACGCCCCCGAGGACGAGGGCTCCCAGGCCATCGCCACCAACCTGATCGAGTTCCTCAAGCATGAGGTCAACCACGGCCGTCTGCCCAAGAACCTCCTCCCCATCCAGTCCGGCATCGGCAACATCGCCAACGCCGTCGTGGGCGGTCTCAGCAAGGGCGGTTCCAACTTCACCAACCTGAAGGTCTGGACCGAGGTTCTGCAGGACTCTTTCCTCGACCTCTTCGACAGCGGCAACCTCGACTTCGCAACCGCCACCTCTATTCGCTTCTCCCCAGACGGTTTCAAGCGCTTCTACGATAACTGGGAGCGCTACGCCGGCAAGCTCCTCCTCCGCTCGCAGCAAGTCTCAAACTCCCCCGAGATCATCCGCCGCCTCGGCGTCATCGGCATGAACACCCCCGTCGAAGTCGACATCTACGCCCACGCCAACAGTACCTGCGTCATGGGCTCGCGCATGCTCAACGGCCTCGGCGGCTCCGCCGATTTCCTCCGTAACTCCAAGTACAGCATCATGCACACCCCGTCAACACGGCCCAGCAAGGTTGATCCTACCGGTGTCAGCTGCATCGTTCCCTTCTGCACGCACATTGACCAGACGGAGCACGATCTGGATGTTGTCGTTACCGAGCAGGGTCTGGCTGATGTGCGAGGATTGTCGCCTCGCGAGCGTGCGCGCGTTATTATCAAGCAGTGCGCTCATCCTGATTACCAGCCTATTTTGACGGATTATCTGGATCGGGCTGAGTTTGAGTGCTTGAGGAAGGGAATGGGTCACGAGCCGCATCTGTTGTTCCAGGCGTTTAAGATGCATCAGAATTTGCAGGAGAACGGTACCATGAAGATTTCTTCTTGGGAGTAAGAAAAGGCCCGGAGTGGTGATTGCTTGGCTTTCTTTTGGTGATTACGCTGCAAAATATTGTGGGGTTGGATTTGGTGTTTGGAGCTTTTTGTACATACCATCGGCATTTTTATCTATTAAGAGAGATCAATCGATCTACAATTCATATTATTCTCAATCAGTGCTTGTGGTGTTTCAAACTCGGCTATATGTCAAGCTTTTAAAGTAAGATGCATTTGGAGCGGGCCAGTCATAACTACCCTGGATCTGCTTAGAAGATTGAATGATTAACAGGAGAATATGAGTGGATACTATAAATATTTTGACAAGTATACGGCTACGCCCATTCTAAAGAGTAATCATACTCCACGTGGACCTCTTTGTAAGACGAGATTTAAATCAACCAAAGTGTGGATAACATAAAATCTAAAAAGCACCATAACTCCAAAGCTATCATATCAACATAACAAATACCATTACCCGTCCAAACACAAAACCATAATCTCAGAATCCGGCTTCGCACCTCCAAGCCTCGGACAATCGCCCTTTGCAATTCTCACCCCCGAATCAAGACAAACCCTAGGACGACGGTGGGTGGTACGATCCACCAGTAAATCTACCACGAGTCAGCCACACATCCCACAAATAAGTGGATACTCGGTGAATACTGAAGCATACCGATTCCAAAGAGATCCAATCAATCCAGTCTGCGCATCGCCGGACTTACGACGTGCCCAGCCGTGGTCGACATTGTAGGATTTGACATCCTGGAGACCGGCGAAGAGACCTCGTCCAGCGGTTGATTGCTGTGGGATAGTATTAGTATTGTTGATAATGGAAGAAGTATATATCAAAGTCAATCGGAATTGGGATTGAACTTACCCTGTGCGTCTCCTTGTTGCGAACCCAGTAGTCAGCACCGAAGTCGTTCTGGAGGCGGGCAGCCTGGGAAGTTTTGGATGGAGAGCCCATAGTGAATTCTTCGGTTTGTGCGATAGATCGAGTGCTGGGATAAGAAGCGTAGAGTGTTGTGATAGTCTTTGATAGACTTATAGAGTATTCTCTGAGTAGATATGAAGATCTTGATGAACAAAGAATCCTTCAACCCCTAACAAGCTGTATTCCTTATATACCTCCTACACGAAAATCCCACGGAATACACCTACTATCCAAAAGACAATTACACGTTTTCCATCCATGGTAAATGGCAAGATCGCCTTCGAACATGGGACCACACCATCCCGGCCGAACGAACCGAACACTCGTCCGCAGCGGTTCCGACTCGCACAATCTTCAACTATGGAACTACCAGTCATAACGAAGTGAATTAGGCTGATTTACCGCGTGAGTGACCTGATCTCGCATCCGAGGGCTTGGGTCTGGGGTGGTTAGTGCCACACTGCGCGGGCTGTAGTCATGACGTCGAACGGCTAAAGAGTGGTGTGGTCGCGGCCGAACCACGCGGGAGTAGATCTTCCGGGTGTTGAAGTTAACAGTTACTGGGCTAGAGGCTGTTGGTTAGTTTCGGGATTGGCCGAGAGGCGCAGGGGTTCATGACTTTTGGTTTTAGCGAGTTGTTCTCGTGGGTTTGTTTTCGGGGTGAGTTGATTTGTTGGTTTGGTTGGGCTATGGTCAGATCAGCTGGTAGTGGGATTTTCTCGGGTGGCATGATCAGGTTGTCTTTGGCTCCCTCTGGAATCGTGGTTGTGTGGTGTGATGTGAGAATGGATTGGAGAGAAATTAAGAACAAATAGCTGATGGTTCTTGATATTAACATTATTAGAAACGTTATTATGGATTTCTGTCTCGTGGTTGGATTGGTTGTGACTAATCGTAGATCCCGGAGTCCAGAAGGAAGGCTCATATACCTTCAGCGGCTTCTTGCAGATGCTGTGCGACAAGACGAAATTGACACCAACTAGTAGTGTAGATCAAAACTGATCTGGTTGTCCTGACAATTTTAATTTTAGGGTACTAGGCTGATTACAATTTAGTAACGCCGGTCGCTAATTTGAGGGGGAACGGTGTCTTTGTTATAGTTCTGTTACCGTGAGCCCGATCGTGGTACAGGCTCCCTGGAATGCCAAACCAGCTTTAAGGACGAATAAATTGTGTTAAAGAGACTTATAGACAATTTAACGAGTCTCTCTTACTAAAGTTTCAACAGTGCTCTTGTTTCCGCTTAGAGCAGGTTCGGCTGGGCGCCTCTACAGCCCAAAGTGATACATCAACACGAATCCTTGAGTGCAAACCTGTTTCTGACTTATCTGCTCTTCCTGGAATATTCACATTAACTCTCCAGGCTCAACATCGCCACTGGAGTCATCCCGACCCTTCACCACTGCAAAGCACAGCCACATCAGCATGGCTAGCCCATCACGTGGGGCCAGATGCCTCGATTTCCCCCGAGCGCCGAGTATAAATCTTGATGACTTGCCCAGCAAAGCTCAAATAGATGATAATAGGTGAAAATGCCTCGACTATACAGTGGCAGCATGGAGCAAGTTAGGGTGGTTGGCTTGGGGGGGGGTCTAATTGTGAGTAGCAATTAATTTTCGCGCTCACCTTTAGGGATTATTGTTTAGTGATTCAAGGCCATAAGCTGGGAAGGTGAGTTTCATGCGCCCGAGGCTTGCCAAGGCCATCCATACCAGGCTCGTAAGCTCACTGGACTATAAATGATTGATGGGGCTGGCGAGATCCAATCTAAAATGCAGGGAAACAACATCCCTTCCATAAATATGGAGATGAGTGATGACAGACTTAAATATTTAAGAGAAAACCATATATTCATTGGCTATTACAAGCCTGTGAATTATAATGGCGTGGAAGGGTCTCACCGACGATCATCTCATCTGCCTGAAGAATATCTATTCTAGATCAACGCTAAGCCAAACGTAGCACGCTAAACTATTTACAGTAGTATGTCTTATTCTCCACGTTGTGATTGGCACAACTAGCGTGCGGCTAAACGTGGACCCTTTTTATTCCCCAGCTCACATAAGATATCAAGCTGAGCCCCAAAAGACTTTCACATCTACCTCGTCCATGAATCAATGAAGACTCAAAGCGAACGAGGGGGAACCGGAGAAAAATAGGAGATCAAACAACATCTCCTTCCCCATGGAGCGCACAAAATGGCTCGACGGCCTGCGCGGCATCGCAGCCGCCATCGTAGCTGCGGATCACTTCTTCATGAGCGATGTCTGGCACCCCTTTGTCTCCTACTGGACCGATCCGCCCGAGGGGAATCGCCATATAGTACAGCTTCCACCAATTCGAATTCTCTTCTCCGCCCATGGAATGGTAACGTTATTCATGGTTATCTCCGGCTACGCGATTTCCATCAGTCTCCTGAAAGCTCGAAATAGCCCCCAATTCTTGGCACGAGTTTCGTCTGCCGTTGTGCGAAGGGTTTTCCGCATTTATATGCCTGTCTTCGTTACGGCTAGTCTGGCTCAGATCTTTTACTTTTTTGATCTGTATCATTGGCCGTTTGACGAGGGGTTTTTGGAGACATTGCCTAAACCTTGGACGGCGCCTTGGCATCATTTTACATGGGTTCTCAATTATATGGCTGATAGTATGAATATTATCGCGTTTGAATATCGCGGTGCTTTGAATGGGCAGCTGTGGACTATGCCGGTTGAGTTTAGGGGGTCAAACGTGGTTTACCTCCTCATCGTGGGATTCTCGGGGTGGCGGGCAAAGTCGAGATTCTACATTCTTCCCACTCTCGCTTGCTTCTTCCTATGGTATGGCAACTGGGATATCTTTGGCTTTATCTGGGGTCTCTGGCTGGCCGAGAGAGCTAGGGCTACCACGAATACACCCTCTTTACCATCGGACGAGCCACTGCATGCCGAATTTGAGATGGCAGAGTTCGAAGACGAAGACAGACCCAGGTCATTCTTCACAACACCCCTTCGTCTAGGCTCATGGTACGGCAAACGTCGATGCAATACCCTGAAATCGAGAAACTGCCTCACCTTTTCACGCATTGGTGCCATCCTCATCTTCCTCGCAGGGTACTACCTCCTCTGCCTGGGCAACGACGGCCACCTCCCACCGGGGTATCAATTTCTCTCCGTCCTCCAACCATCCCGTTGGAAGGATAAATGGGATATATATCACTTTTGCTGGAAAACCATCGGATCAGCCATGCTGGTCTACGCCATCGGGGAACTACCCTGTTTACAGAGACCTCTCAATACGCGAGTAGTTCAGTATCTGGGCAAGATTTCGTTTGCATTGTATCTGCTTCATGAGACAATCTACGAGCTGTGGAGGAATCCGTTGCGGGATTTGATTTACTCGGCGTTGAGTGGGAAGGAGTATGGGAGTAGTGGTGTGGCGTTGGGGAATGATCCTTTTTCGTTTCATGTTGCTTGGTGGTCGACGGGAATTTTGCTGGGGGCGGTGGTTGTGGGTGCATCGCATTTTTATACGATCTATGTAGATGATTGGTGTGTGGCTTTTGCTAAAAAGGTGGATCGGTGGTTGAGTTATTAAATACAATAATGGAATTCTTGTTTCGGTGAGACGCCAGTCCAGCTATGTAGAAGACAAGTCTATGTTCTATTTCTGGCATGCAATATCTGGAAAACTACACTTAACTACTTTTTTTGTGTCCGAGTTACCTTTATACACTGTGTTGTGACCTCTGATGCGTCGGCTTGACATATAAGAGCCGACTTCACCCATTTGGTCTAGCTCGGTAGAAACCGTCCTGTGGATGAGAACATTATATCACCTTCCTTTAGTAAAACTAAACTCTGTTTATTATGCAAGTGAAATTGTCCTTTCCAAATCTCTAACTAGCTTCAGACTTATATTCCACAATCTCCAGATCCAGCCCCAGCCGTCATGAAGAGCACTTCACAGAGTCCTCCATAGACCAATGTATTCCATCTTACACACCGAGCATCAAGGCCCTTAGTTATGCACGAGAATATGCAACACGAGCAAGCCAACAAACAAGCTCCTCGAAATCCATCCTCATGGTCACAATGCCAACGACTCCAGGTCTCGGCTCTTTGTATGGAGTCTATGAGGAGAACTCTGCAATCCAAGATGTGATAGAGACACATAACAACGTCGTGCACGACAGTCATGAACTCCACCATACCATCTACACCACAAAAGCCATGAAAAATCCCACGCAGAAGGCCACCCTCACCGAGCTAACAGCACAGATAGTCCATTTCGCAAGCCATGGCGTCTCAGACCCCACAGACCTCTCAGAGAGCCATTTACTCTTACAAAAACCAGGATCCTCAGGACCCGTTGTCGATGCGCTCAAGGCGTCGAGTATCTCTACCTCGACTTCACTTGGTAGGGCGTGGATCGCGTATCTGTCTGCATTTTCAACGGCGCAGGTTCGAGCGGATACGCTCCTAGATGAGAATATCCATCTCACGAGCGCATTCCACGTTGCGGGATTCGCACACGTCATCGGCACTCTGTGGCGTGCTGATGAGGATGCGTGCGTGCTATCAGCTCGGTGTTTCTATCGTTATTTGATTGGAAAGGGGGATATTGGTGAGTCCGGGGCTGTTGCGAGGGCGTTAAGGGAAGCGGTACTGGAACTTCATCGCGCTTTTGCGGATAGACCGAATGCGTGGGCTCCATTTGTCCACTTCGGTGCTTAGAATATATCGGGACCCTTTCGAATGGCTTCGTTTTTCAGTGTACAGGTGAGCTGTCGTAGTAGACATGGATTCTTTGTGCTGAGGACCTTTGCTGGCCTAGGGCCTTTCTAGGATCCGCTCTCCCTGGTTTCGTGGATTTCGTTGACAAGCCATCTCCTTACCTATACGGTGGCTTGTGGATTTCCTTCTGCTTCTTCTTTATATTCGCAGTTTACAGTTATCAATACACTCCTTTCTATGTCTGTTGGCCAAGTGGAGGCTCATCATAAATCTTGGTTATGGGGTGGGTGTGGCTATGAATCTACGAGAGTGGAAGATATATATCTCGTTTAAGAGCCGCATCCCGTTTCCTGTATCTCGTACATCAGCGACCGAGTGCACCAGTTTTGCCCAAAAGCACAATAGTTCGTACTTGAAATAAGAAAAAAGGCCTACGGACAAAGAAAAGAAAAAAAAAACAGAATTAATCCATCATCTCAACCTTAATCTACGAATTGTGTCGATACTCTTCAAAGTCTATCTACCGTCGTGCCGAGGTCCCGCGCTTACAATCCCCAGAAGGCTGAATAGCGCCCTCACGCCTATGCAGGTACGGTGTTTCATCCGCAACCTTATTCCATAGTAGTAGTAACATAGTAAGATTTAATAGCAATGATAGGTAGCATCTATTAATCCAGAATGTGCTGCTGCTACTACTACTGCTGTTGCTCATGCAGTATGTACTTGGGTTTAGGGGCTATCGATTCTACAGAGCAAGCGAATTGTACAAACCAACCTCGAAGACGGAGCTGTCGCTCAGCATTTAACCCTTGCTTTAACTAACAGGATGTACTCACATAAATCGTGCAGAGGATGCTGGGATAAGTATCACAACACTTTACGAACTCCCCCGTCGCGAACCCCAACCCCGAACACGAGCTACCAGAATCCACTGAGAATAGCAAGTGCTAAGAAACTAGACCATCAAACCATCACAACAAACCCAATCACACCCCTAAAATCCTCCATACTCCATACTCCACACAATCCTCGGTCCACGGCCAATGCAAGCGCCAACCCCTGACTCTCGCCCCCTGAATAGCCTCACAGAGTCCCGCCAAGCCTCGTGCTAAAAACCCCATCACATCCGAACGGGAGAACACGCGCCGCCCAGATCGACTATCATGCTTGGCGGCTCATAGCGGTTCCCCTTCTAGATTGTGGTTCGAGAATTGAGACCAATTATATTATGGAGATGCTTTGTTTACTTAATGTTTACATACTTGTGTAGAACGGTTACGCCCACCCCCTCGAGGCTTTCACCCCTGAACGCATAATCGGCAACGGCGCTCGATCCAAGGAATAGCCGTTACCTCGTGGTCCAATAATTGGGGACTAATGGTAGAGGGAACTGATAGAGGGAACTGGGTGTTGGAGGGTAAGTGATCCGAGACTAGCGAGTGCTAACGAAAGCATTGGCGGGAGGAGAAGTGCACGGAAGTCTGTTACTTTAGTCTTTCAGGGGAGGGGAGAATGATATTTATGGCAATGGAAGTCCCATCCAATAACTACTGGATTACGGAGAACTATGACAATAATAGGACTTTGTAGGCGACCATTTCAACCCGTCGCCCTGCATGTTGGCTCTACGCCACAGACGGCAGTTATATTTAGTCGTTTACAGAGGAGCACTTAGCCCATAAACAGCAGTGCTGAAACATGACATTCCGGGGAGAAGAAAAGGGCCTTCAACAAGATATGTGATGAATATTGATATTCTAGGGACTGTATCCTGGAGGAACCAGACACTCCAAGTTCTAGACCATTCTCGCATTGAGATCAGCAATGGATGAGCAGAAGAGGGGGCCACTACCGAGTGTTCCCACTCTTTACCGTGGGCGATCTCGAATGCGGAGCGGATGAATGAGTCCAAGACAGTGTCTTACTGTGAATAGAAGGACCTCCGGATGAACGATGGACGCGGGGCACTTTGAACCTGGTATGTCCAAGATGATGCCCTGTCGGACTCACTAATCGGGAAGACCAGGCTGACGAGTCCTCCAAGGAATATCCGCGCGCAACCGAAAGTGTAATCTTACCTGTGCATGTCCAGTACTGCTGGCAATGCAAGAATTCGTTGTTGTGCCTTTGCTGTCATCTTATAATTGCAGGCCTGATCCGTGGTTCCAGGGATCACACCGATGTCATCTCTCGCCACCGTTGGAAATGGGTTCTCCGTCGTGTCCTCCGCTTGGGGCTGGCCTGGTTGCATTTGGCCAACAACAAAGAGGAAAAAAGTTGAAATGAATAAAATACGGGGGCTGCCCTGTACTGCATCCAGGCGGTACAGTACCAATTTACCCATTCGAGTCCAACACGAATGAGGATCGGCAGGGCGGAAATTAAAGTCTGGAATTGGCCAATCATAATTTAGGATTAGCTCCACAGAAGCTGCCACTTGGCCCGATCGGGTTTAGATCTATCTCCACATGGCGCATGGCAAATTACCGGGTTTTTGGATTTCTGTGAGACACTTTCAGCTGATAGTACGGAATACATATCAGAATATTGGGGGTCGACGAGAGAATATAATTCTGGACTCTGGGAATATTCTGGATCCTCGCCTAGACTGCCATTCTCCATACTGGCGATGATTTAATCCTACCTTTTCAGGTCCAGTCTGCCCTATGGAGTACTTGGACTGTACCTGCAAGGCCAAGACGGGCGCAGGGTCCTCCTACTGTCAGGGGCAATTTCCCCTTCTCTCTGCAGTGTTGGCTGTAAGGGGCGGTGTACCCTTGGCCCCAGTGAGACAGGGCTATTTTTGCTTGGAACTGGGCTGGAGATGAGCCCAAGTCTAGGATAATCCAGTGGGAATAACAATTAGGTATGATAATAGCTATGATAATATCCAAGTATACTCCATATATAGACTATATACTGGATGATAGCTGGAGTACTACGACCGCGGACCTGCATAGGCGCCCAGTCGAACACGATAGTCCCGATGGTCCAGGTACTACGGATAACTGCTCCGATCAGTATATCAGTAATATACAGTCTGGATAATTTCCACTCCACTCCTGCCCGACCCGTGCGGGCCAATCCATTGTCAGTCTTTCACCGGGTCTCCAACCATCCGCCAATCACACGTGCAGTGTGCCTGAGCCCATCTAGACTCGACTCCATTTTACCCTAGGACGTACTGAAAATTCACGATCGGTGGAGAGTTCTCACGGCGTTTCCTCTTCCCCTTTTCTTTGGCTGGTCCCCTTCCCCCTAACTTTTGCCCTTTTCCCTTTCCTTCTCCAGTGACCCAGTCCCCTGCTCCAACAAAAGGCCTGACGTGCCCACTTCCCTCCTTTTTTCCCTCCTAACCCACGTTCCCTTCCCTCTCACTCTTCCTCTCACCCACTTCCACAACTGACCACCGCTTCACTCGTTCAGCGGGCATTCCTTCTTTCTCCATCTCGAACGTTTGAATCCTCTCATCATGAAGGGTTCCATCTTCGCGGCTGCGGCCCTGGTGGGCTCTGCCATGGCCGATGCTCACCTGCACCGCCGCCATGAGGCTATTCACAACCGTCGCGATGCCTCCAGCTCCGTCGTCGCCTCTTCCTCTCTGGCTCCTGCCCCCGAGGAGACCTGTGGCTGCACCACCAAGGTCATCACCTACTACGGCTCCCCGACTCTGGTGCCCGTCTCCTCCACCGAGTCGACCACCACCTTGACTAGCACCATCCACTCTACCAGCACCAGCACTTTCACCGTGACCGTGACTCCCTCCGTTGCTGCTGTCTCCTCCTCCGCGGTTGCCTCGACTTCCACCGAGGTCGTTCTGCCTACCCCCGGTGTGACCAGCTTCTCCTCCACCGGTACCTACACCATCCCGGCCACCACCCTGACCGTTACCGACACCACCACCGTTTGCGGTGCCACCACCACTGAGGTTGCCAGCGGTACTCACACCATCGGCGGTGTCACCACCGTTGTCGAGACCGAGACCGTTATCACTTGCCCCTACGCCACCGTCAAGCCCACTGGCACCACCGTCACCAGCGTCATCGAGACCACCACCTACACTTGCCCCGCTGCTGGTACTTACACCGTTGTCCCCGGTACCGTTACCTCCGTGCCTACCAGCACTGTGATCGTCTACCCTACCCCCCAGACCATCACCCCCGGTACCTACACTCAGACCGAGACCGTTGTCACTGTTACCCGCACTGACTACACCTACGTCTGCCCCTACTCCACCTCCGGCCTGGCCAGCACCACTGCCCCGGCTGCTACTACCGCCGCTGCCACTACTGCTGTCCCCGTTGCCTCCTCCTCCTCCACCAGCTCTGCTGCCGCTGCCACCAGCTCCAGCACCTCCAGCTCTGGTGTCACCGGTGCCGGCCAGTATGGTATGACCTTCTCCCCTTACACCTCCAGCGGTGCTTGCATGTCCCAGTCCGAGGTCACCTCCAACCTCAAGGTCATCAAGGACAAGGGCTTCAACCTGGTCCGTGTCTACTCCACTGACTGCAACGGTCTCGAGTACATTGGCTCTGCCTGCAAGGAGCTTGGCATGAACATCATCATGGGTGTCTACATTGACAGCACCGGTACCTCCGGCGCTCAGGACCAGGTTGACGCTATTGCCAAGTGGGCTGAGTGGGACATGGTCGAGCTGATCGTTGTCGGTAACGAGGCCGTCTCCTCCGGCTACTGCTCTGCTTCCCAGCTTGCCAGCTTCATCACCTCCTGCAAGTCCACCTTCCAGGCTGCCGGTTACACTGGCAAGGTCACCACCACCGAGCCCATTGACGTCTGGGAGCAGTACGGTACTTCCACCCTCTGCAGCCCCGTCGACATTGTCGGTGCCAACATCCACCCCTTCTTCAACTCTCAGGTGACCGCCGCCAAGGCCGGTGAGTTCGCCCTCTCCGAGTACAAGATTCTCGAGGGTCTTTGCAACAAGGACGTTGTCAACTTGGAGACTGGCTGGCCCAACGCTGGTGATGCCAACGGTGACGCCGTTCCCGGTGTTGCCGAGCAGGAGACTGCCATCAAGTCGATTGTTGCTGCTCTCGGCTCCAAGTCCATCTTCTTCTCCTACGCCGATGATGACTGGAAGTCCCCCGGTCAGTTCAACGTTGAGCAGCACTGGGGCTGCGCTTCCGTCTTCTAAGCGCGCCACGCCACGTTGATGGGTTGATTTAACTATTAGCACCCCCGCCTTTTTTTGTTAAAATCTTGTACAGGAGGAATTAAGGAGTTTTTTTTTTGTTCATCACTGCCTATTCTTCTCTTGAGAGTTGTATGTGATCGACCTGCCATTGGTTGGTCTCGTCTTGTCTCATGATGGCTTGGTCCGGTGTGGATGCTTTCCAGGGGGGTTTCCCACCTTCCAACGCCAATTTTATTGTTTTCTCCTGTCTATTATCTTGGACGTTTACGTGGTAGATATACCTTTTTTATTTGACGTTGTCTACTGACCCTGGTTGCATCCACCTGATTTCTTTGTTCTATCTTGTCTGTATATCTTTATTGATGCATTTTATGAACGGTAGCTCTTGAGTCCATGTAGGCTGTATTAATATCTCGTAGTGAGTGGATGATATGCCTCCTACTTTGATGCAAAGGCAGAGTCTTCGAATAAATTGTTTCTCAATACCCTAGGCCCATTGATACACGCCCTAATCAAGATATCAAGATACCTGGCCTCAACATCTCGTCCTGAATCTTATACGACTAAACAAACACCCAACCCTCTCCTACATAGACATCATCTCCCCTTCTCACACCCCCCCCAAAAACTCCACCAAATACGGGAAAAACCTCTCACTATCCTCCCAAAACGGCGCATGTCCCAACCCCTCCATCCTCACACACTCCCCACCAACCAACCTCCCCCACCCCAGTCCATCCAAATAATCCAAATTAATAAACGGATCCGCCGTCCCATTAACAACGGCAAATACAACCCCGTCTCCTCCCCTCAATGCCTCAGCCTCAACAACACCAACTTGATCAACCCCTTGCCCCGCCGCAAAGCTCGTGAACATATTTGCCCGGGCAACACCCTCTGTCCGGCCGACAGCGTCAATCTGCCAGCTCTCGTACGGCGGCCCGCTTGTCGCGGTAGCGTAGATACGGACTTCCTCCGCAGTAAGCGTATCTTTACTAGCGAGCGGCAACGCCGGCGAGGGCGGTGTCTTGCTAAATGCGAGCATAACTTGGTCCGGGGTGTGACTAGGCGGCGTACCGACTAACATAATCCCATTGACCTTTAGCTTCGGGGTAGGGTTTGACCGGATAAGAGATAGCATTTCGATAGCGATGTGCCCGCCCAAACTCCACCCTAGCACCGAGACTTGACTAATGCCTAGGTCGGCCAGGATAGTCAGGATACACTCTGCGTACCCTTGCATCGTGTATGTTTCTTCCGGTGTGGATGCGTTTTCGGAGTTGCCGTGGCCGGGGAGGTCGAGGGCCAGGATGCGGTGGGTGCGTGTTAGGGGGGTTGTTGTTAGGAGGGGGTGCCAGATTCGGGTGCAGGAGCTGTTGCCGTGGATGAGGAGGAGGGTTGGTAGTGCATGGGGGTTGGAGGGGGACGAGTCGAGGATGTAGATTTGGCCTGTTGGGCTGGGTTGGTGGTATGTTTTTATTGTTGGGGTTTGTGGGAATGAGAGGGTGGAAGTCATGATGAGTGTTTTGATGTAGCGATATGAGCGTAGGGGTTTGAATCGATGCGTATAGTATTTTATTGGAGATAGGAGCATTCGAGGAGGGGAGAGTGCAGTTATAAGTGCTTGGAGATGGTGATGGGAATGGCGTTATCAACTGAAGTGGGGTAAACTAATATAGGTTTTAATCCGCGCCAGCCTTGTCGTTAATGTAGTTGATCGATTGACCAATGGGACTGCATAGTATGCACAGTAGATTCTGGGCTTTCTTATTCCTACTAGCGTGGGGGCTCGCAGTCTTGTTGTCGTTTTAATTAGACCGTCTATGGCATTGGGGACTGTACAACAGCACCCTTTGGGTAAGTACCTCGGCCTATCTTTGCGAATCCTTAACCCCATACTATTGCTATTACTACCATGAACTGGCGCTTATAGTCGTCGACCTACTACGTGATCTGTTTCTGTCCATCATTTCGTCCACTTGCTTCAGACTAAGAAGACTTCAACTTAATACAGCCACTCTGCTCTGATACATCTATTCATTCCCCAAGGCGAAGTTTTCTATATCTCCTGCTTGGGAAGCTCGTGCCTTTATATAGGAATGGCGTATAGCCCGCTATCAATCACCGCCAGTGTCACCAGCATCCTCACATTCGTCGCGGCAACTCTTGCGTTTATCTATGTCCGCTACAACTTCTTCCGAAATGGTAACATCGAAATGATGACTATTTATAAATCGGTCGTTGGCTTTGTTGCCGAAACTAACACTATAGCGAGAACGACGGAATCCGGAGATCACATTAGATCTGATTTACTGCAAGGGCTTATTACGGAGTTGCTCGGCACTGAGATTAGAGTGATGAAGAAACGCATGGTATCCTTTGGCGTCGGCCCTGCAGAGATACCTCCGGATCCATATTCGAGTATGCCTCAAGACGGAGTATTCCCGATATATCAAACCGTAATAACTCAATACCAGTCGGCCTTGCAAGATCGGCTAGCACCATTCGCATCCAATACCGCTGACAAAATTGTTCGTCGGCACTCTCTCTGCCTCTCATTCATCCGTCCTCTTAAGTTCTCTCGGCTAGCATTAGGCGAATGACATTCAGAGTCACGCCGCTACAATTACGTTGGTACAGAGTACTGCGTTCGGTGCTGGAAATGATTCAGCGAAGAGAAACACTTCGATCACAATTATTGTTTCATCTGATGTCTCTTATTCATTTTAGGTTTTTGATAACCCCACGAATCACAAATTAGGTCAACTGATGTTTGGAGCAGACAAACAAAGTCTCACGAGGCCTTGACTCATAAGCTGATTGATGAGAGTCGTTAATTACGGTCACTCGTAGAAGAAGTGGTCAAAGTAAATACTGAAATCAAGAGTACCATGCTTAAGATGACGCACTTGGATCAGCCCGATCTCCAATCCAAGATTACTCATGAAACCGTCGAGGAGAACTAAATGGATTTTTCACATTTGCTTAGGCTGTGTGAGGCGATGCCGAAGCAAAGGCAAATTTGGATCAAATCAGCCGATCAGCCTGAGCATTACCGTGAGCGATCACCTTGCCTAGGGCAATGGGGTGAGCTCACCCTACGAGCTAGGCGCTGCTCACTTCGTGATGCGGCAGGTTCCGTCACCTGGTTTACATAGAAATCACAGTAGCTGCTGTCTTGATCCTGTCAGGCGGGGTTCGCAGTTATCGTCTCTGTAGCTAGTCCCCGAGGATCTTTGGATCATCTACAGGCCGTTTTTAGTAGATATCTCATATCATTTTTCTAATACCGGCCCCTGCTCTGTAGCTCTATACTGCGGTGACCGAGCGCTTCATCTGAGACATTAACGATTGAGAATGTTTCTGGTCTTATACATTAATATATTACCAAGGCTGACCAGTAAAGGCTGCCTTATTTCATCACTTTCTCGCGACAAGCGTCACAAGGACCAAACAGACCGGAGTATGCATGACTCCAGTCCCATCCGCATCTTGTCGAGGCTTGTACTATCTTGGCAAAGCTTACGTATCTTCAGTTACCCATTTTGCCCGAGCCCGGAAATCTGCTTTATACTCTGTTTTGCTTCATCTTCTCTCTTGCACCCTTCGCTACACGGAGATTCTCGTCGTTGGGTAGAGGGCGCTTTCGAAATCCTCGCCATGATCTATGGAAAGCAGAATTCAGTCGGAAGTTGAATGTAGCAAGGTGGGAATGGTGATTTGCGGGGTATTGATGTCTTTCCTATTCCAGTTATCCCCGCAAATATGCCGGTACTAGACTTGTACTCGAACTAACCCAAAACGTTCAATTGGGACCCTGAGTTTCCGGGGTAGCATTTCGCTGACGAACTCCCGGCCTGTCCCGTAGCTAGAATAGCAAGGATCGACGGAAATGTGTCGATCTCGACATAGATCCGGGGCAGGATTCTTCAGGAGAGGGGTTCAGATTTATAGATATGACGAATTTGTGTAATTTAATTCACTGCAAAATAAATGTCAGCGGATCGAACTGAGAGGAGTGGCCAAAAGGGTATGAGTTCTGTACTTTCCAGACAGCTAAAATTCAGCGATGTGCGACATTACATTTAGGCCTATGTTGATATTTGAAACGGATTCCGTTCTATGGGTCCACATCGGGCACGGCTTCGATATAGCTCTTTGCCCAGATGAAGGCTTCCCAGATGGAGATTTATACCAACCCGTGACAGATGTATCAAGGTATCGACACTTGTAATCACTATAAGTATCTTCAAAATCAGGCGAATAGTTTTCAATATCAGTCTATTCCAAAGAAAACCATTCAACGCGGCGAATTAACAAAAGAAATCTATTCAAAATGAAGTCCCAGATTATGCTGGCTCTTGCAACTGCTGCCTCGGCAGCAACGCTCGAGAAGAGAGAAACCTATAGCGGTGTGGCTACTTTCAATAACTACGCCGCGCAGGGCAAGTATGTTTTAACCTCCAGCAACGGCCTTACTCGCTACCCTCTACGAGATTAACACATCTTAGCACTGTTTGTGGCCCCAAGGCTGGTGTGTCCGGCACGTACGGAGTTGCCATTGGTGACCTTTCCCCAAATATCTGGAGTGGAGAAAAATGCAGCGGGTCAATCGATTATTCCAAATGGTACTGTTACCGGTCTCACAATCTGATGAAGTCACGCACACTAACCCACGTCACAGTAACGGGCAGAATCCTATTTCTGGATACAGTGGGCCGGCATGCCCGACTACGACCTGCGGTGAGTGTTTCAAGGTTTGCAACGCTGGCGGATACGGAGGTGCTTCTGTTGGTGGAGTGGGCAATTGCATCACAGTGAATGTGATTGATGCGTAAGTTTTTCCTGAAGACTCCTGGGATGTACTTGGCTAAAGTTGATTCTGAAGCTGCCCTTCTGAGTCTGCATACAATTATTGCAAGACCGATGTTCCGGCCGACGAGAGATGTGGCAGTAGTTCCTCGAACGCGGTGGATATTGATGTCAGTGCCTATTCTGCGCTTACGGGAACTAGCTGGACGAGCAGTAGTCCGAACATTGAGGTCAATATCACCCCATCTAGCTGCTGAGTTGGCATTTGAGCCCAGCCTGTTTGAGACATCTGGACAACTATTCTCATTCTGTACTCTGTTTTCATGTGAGATATGGTGATGCAGCAACTTACATGTATTCTTCTCGTGGAAATACATACTTTTATCATCTGGGATTATCCAGTGCCCGATGAATAGCTCAGTTTTAACTCGCTGATTTTTCGCGATTTTCCTCATTCCATCCCCTTGAATGTCCTATAATCCGAAACAATATAATCAGACTGGTAAAATACCCGATTCTATGATTAAATGAATTTCTGGCCAAATATTGCCCTTCATCAGTACTTTGGTGTCAGGTATGTAGGATTCATCCTATTGTGTTGAAATCGTCTAACATTGGCTCTTGCCCTCCATACAATCCAAAAAAGTTGATCCTCCTAGCTCAAAACTCTTAGTCAAGCCACCTCCGTGCAGAAAGCAGGTTGGCCAGATCCTAGGGTAGCATCGTTCGCATAAAAGCTGCGGGGTGCCTCGGGAGTGTTCCAATGAGCGGAGAACGGCAAGAGAAGGAAGGGACGGCCCCAGGTTGGCTAACTGAATACGGTAAAGTCAATTGCCAGATACAAACTGCTAGCTATACACCTGCACATCCTCGTCTTTCATGAGGGGTCCGAAAATCTCCTTTGAGTTTCCGCTAGCGACAATCTTCAGGGGTTGACGCAAACTTTCCATCACATCATGGCTTACGGCGGCATCTTAACGGAGTCTACTCCGTGGCTGAAAAAAGGTGTATACTCTGTCATCTTGAGGAGATCAGTTTCAGTGATGAGATATAAATTGGACATTAAAAGCCGGGTTGGAGTTCACGGAAGCAATCAAACGTGTCAATAAAACAACCCAGTACGAAGAAGAATCTATTTACTTCAAGATGAAATCCATCGTTGCTATTTCAGCCATATTCTCTGTGGCCAATGCTCAAGTCTCCTCGTTCTGTACGCAATATGGTTCCTATGCAAGCGGCGCATACTCGGTTAACAACAATCTATGGGGTGAAAGCGCCGGCTCCGGGTCGCAATGCACAACTGTAAACTCCATCTCGGGTTCCGGGGTCTCCTGGTCCACGACATGGAATTGGTCCGGAGGATCTAGCTCGGTCAAGAGCTATGCCAACTCAGGTCTTGCGTTCACCAAGAAGCTCGTCAGCCAGGTCGGCAGTATCCCGACTTCTGTGCAATGGAGCTACGACAACACCAACATCAATGCCGATGTTTCATATGATCTATTCACGGCGGCTGATATCAACCATGTTACTTATAGTGGAGACTATGAGCTCATGATTTGGTATGATCAATATTAAAGGAATATATGAAGAGTGCAGGATCACTGATCAACTGTTCTAGGCTCGCACGGTATGGCAGCATCCAACCCATCGGCTCGCAAATCGCCACTGCTACCATCGACGGAAAGACCTGGGAGCTTTGGTACGGATCAAATGGCTCACAGAAAACCTACAGCTTCGTCGCGTCCTCGCCAATTGCATCGTTCTCCACGGATGTAATGCATTTCTTCAACTATTTGACTCAGAATCAGGGCTTCCCTGCTAGCTCCCAATATCTGATTGGTATGCGATCCCTCTATTTGGTTGGCCTATGCTTGAATTGTAACTGACTGCGAATATAATAGACTTGCAATTCGGCACTGAGCCCTTCACCGGTGGACCTGCAACCTTGAGTGTCTCGAGCTGGTCGGCGAACGTTCAGTAGAGATTGCTCAAATGGGGGAGGGGGAGGGATTATTACAGGACGGGGATATGGAGTCCCACTCGTGCCTCGATTATTTTTGGCGAAGGTGCAATTTTCTATTACTAAATAGGATAGTCCACTATGATTGCGTGCGCCTTTTGTGTATGTAATTTCTCCGCCAGTTTATCGCTCGTCGTCAATTGCCCACTCTGCAGGGCAATTTGCTTTTGGTACTTGTTACTAGTACAACAACCCAAGCATTCATAGGATAGCTCTACTCTCTTGAACTTTCCCCGACAATCTAATTTGAAAAGAAGTTGTTGATCATAAAAAATCATAACAATCTTAGCACGAGTCAGTGTTATGGTTCTGTTTGAAATGTATCCAAGCACATACGACCATAGGGTGTGGAGAACAGGGCTTCCTGTCCACTCAGCCGTACTTAAGCCCAATATAGTACGCAGTCAATTCTCAATGCGCCCTGCGCTCTAAAATGGCGCAGGATTTAGTCTTAGGGTGAGTATGGGTGATATGGGTGAGAAGTTTGGAGACTAGGGTGATAGAGGTAAGAACAGGGTGAGAGTGGGTGAGAATGGAGCAAGGATTCTTACCTAGATTACCCACACTCACCCACTTCTCATTTTTCCTCTATCGCTAGACTCTGTGCTATAAATATATGCCAAGGGCGCTGATAATGTCTGCTATCTTTTTTTCCCTAACCTAGAGCCACCCTACTATACGAAGAAGATACTCCTAGAAGACCTTCAAAAGAAACTTAATAAAAGACTTATCCTCTTCACCGTCCCAGGAGGCACAATTAGCGTATACCAGTTAGTGTATTTTATTAGCTAATCAACTAGTCGGATAGAATCTACGATCTTTTATTGGCTATAATCACCCCACTACCTATCACGCGTCTTTCTTACCACGCGTTTCTACCCCCTAAAGCAAGAAGCCTACCAATTCAGCCACCAATTCAACCACCAATTCAACCACCAATCTATCTATCTATCTATCTATTATGGCAAAGAAGAAATCTACTATATCTACACCTAAGCGCAAGCTTGACGAGATCCTCGCTGAATTACCTACCAAAGAAGAGCTTTCTAGTCGGCTAATAATCTTTTATTATATTTCTAAGATATAAATACTACTATATTTCCTAGCTAAATTAAATCAAGTTTATTATCCCTTTTAATCTCTCTTCTATAATTATGGTACTTCTTCTTCCTAAGAAGTACGCACGACTGATAGACTTATAACTATATATTTAGATACTATATTAAGTATTTACCTACCTTTATATATACTATCTTCTTATATATATAATCACGACTTTATAGTTACCGCCTAAAGTCTGATAGTAGATAATACTACTCTTATAGTAACTAGTTAATCTAAATAGGCTAATATCCACTAGCTAGAGGCTAATATCCACTAGCTAGAGACTACCTATTAGAAAGCTGACCGGTAGGTAGAGACCTATATATCTATTTTTAATAAGAAGAAATACTTACTAGTTTACTTTATTAATCCTCTCGCTACTAATCTCACGAAGTACTATATATCTCTCTATCTACTAGAAATAAGTGTCAACATGTGGATGTTGTGGGGTCACATGACGAAGGACCCACTCATATAACCCCTCTATATATATAGATCTTCTTCTATAAAGATCTAGCAGATTGATCCTCAACGATCTCGTATATGATTGCCTACCTAAGTAAGAGACTCTCAACACTCTGATTCTGTTGATTTATCATGTGATCCTTTGCTATGTTTCCTAGTTAAATTGAATTAAGTTTATCACCCTTTGTGATCTCTCTTCTAGATCAGTGGTACTCTTCCACAATCGTGGTACTTCTCCTTCATAGAAGTGCGCACGACCGATAGACTTATAACCGTGTATTTAGACACTATTGAGTATTTACTAATCTTTATGTATACTATCGTCTTGTGTGTATAACCACGACTTTATAGTCACCGCCTAGAGTCCGATAGTTATGAGCCCGACGCCTCTGCTCTAACTATATAACTAATTCAATTCAGTCTTCTCTTACTTTACTTTCACTCTCGCTTTACTTCTTATATAGAAGCGATAGATTCAACTACTCTATAAGCTACCTAGCTTAACTACCTATTAAAATCTCACGCACACTAGGTTCCCTAGATTACTACGGTTAAAGACTATGTAATCGCACACGATCTGTGGAAATACGCTAATCCGGACTAAGCCACTCCGTCTACCCCGCCTCAGGAACTAATTAAACCATAGATATCTAATGTGATTAGAAACCCTACTAACATATATATATCTAATCTTCCTAAACAGCCACTTAGGCTTATCGACCTTACGTCTGACTAATTAGCTATCTATAAGATACTACTAAGTGAATACGAATCGTTAAGATTAGACTACCTTCGATATCTTCGATCTATCGAATCTCTTAAGTAAGGCATCCGATCCTTGCTTATACTAGAAGGACGTTAAATCGTTAATGGCCTATTAGCACACGAAGCTATAGTGAAACTACGTGCTACCTTTACCCTATCCGACTAATCGAAGAATCGTTAAATCCTACGCGATTAGGATAGGCTAAAATAATAAGCTCCACTAACTAAATTGTCTTAACTACCTATATAGGGTTAGAAATAGCTAATTAGCTAATCGGAAGACGAGAAAGTAGTAATTACCTACTTCTAAGACTATCTATCTCTAGTATACGATTTCCTAGAGATAATTTAACCTAGCGACTAAGGATTCTATACCTTCTAGTATAATACGATCCTATAGGGTCTAAAGAAACCTACTCTAACCGAACTAGTTAATTAATTCGTCGACTAGTACCGACTACCTACTATACTAATTAGTAGTAGTAGAAGACGACCTATCGCCTATATAACCTACTAAGGACGTTAACCTAACGAATCAGACGAAGAAGGACCTATATAATTAACTAGAAGAAGGAAATACCCTTATAGGGGTATACCTAACTCTAGTAACCACGATTTTAAGACGTGTTGCTATATGAATCCTAAGGTAAGACCTAGGGGGTAGTAACCTGACCTAGAGGTCTAAGAGCGATTTGAAAAGCGATGCGATAAATCTAGAGGATTTAATATAGCCTATTAACGTGTAATTCGACGTTACTAACCGGCTAATTTAACTAATTCGACTAATTCGACTAATTCGACTAATTTAACTAATTTAACTGCTAGAGACGCTTTCTCTACCTATATACTAAAATAATAGGTCGAGACTCTCTTTCGAGAGGAAGATAGTGTTATAATAAGTACTATCCGGATTCCTACTAAGAAGAACGATACTTAGTGCTACGATACCGGAGTATTAATTTATATCACGAATAATAGGGACCTACTATTAAACTATAGGCCTATTATATCCTCTATTATGGTTAGAAATACAGAAACTATTATCCTTAGTTATAGTGAACTATCCGTTAAACTATTAGAATCTCTTAATAGAACTACTTTCCCTTTAAAATAAGTTACCTATTATCCTAGATTTTATATTAACCTAATCTCTACAGAAAGAGCTACTAGCGTAGGTATCTATCTAAATAGTAAGGATTACCTACTAGAAGAGAAGGACGGAAGACCTATCTATAAGCTTAACGCGAAATTAGGTATCTACCTAATTCGATAGGATAATTTAACTACTAACCGACCTACTACTAATCACGCTTATATTTTACCGACCTCTTACTTATCTCTTACTTCTGTCTTATACGATTAAGTTATACCTATCACTAAGTAATTTAGTAAGGTTACCCTATCTTCTTCACACACTAAGAAGTAGCTAGATAGGATAATCGACCTATAGTATAGACGACTAGGATACGTTAGTAAGGACGTCCTATCTTATCTACTAGAGCACTTATTAGGTATCACTATTAAAGATATATCTTCGCCTATTAACCACTACGAGATATATAAACTAGCTAATTCGTATCGTTAAGTCTCTCGACGACCTATATAGTATAATCGCCCTTTCGAATCTCTATATTAGGATCTTATATACTTCGAACTATCCTTAGGCAAAACGATCTACCTATCTTACTCTGTCGATCCTATCACTAAATACTAACTAGCGGAAGATCTATCTACTAAGGTAGATTTAATATAATCTCTTTACGAATAGATCGATTTTATTAATAACTAATTTAACCTACGCGTGCTTACTATCTATTTAGATAACAAGAGATCTCTATCTGAATTCTTCGATTAAGAAGCATAATCACGTGGTATTAACCTAAAAACTATACCGCCCTACTAACCTAACTAAAACGGCTACGCTAAGCGTTATAGCGTATTAATTTTAAAGATAGCTAGGTAGATAATTATCGATTCAAACCTACTAAGCTATCTCTAGTATAAAATAGCTAGAACTACCGTCTATATTTAAAACCGCCTACCTCACCGTATATTAAAATAGTAATCCCTACACGAAGTACTTACTACCTACCTCGGTAAAAACGCACTATATTAGCTACTAGTAAAACTAGATCTCTTATATATTCGAATCTTTAGATATAAAGCTTATATACGTATTACTAAGCTACCTAGACTAGCTAAGCTAGTACTACGTGCTACTATTAGCTATCTAGTAGGTTATAAAGCCTATAATATCTAGCGTATCTAGATACCTACTAAACGACGTGTAATTCGTGCACGAGACGTCTAATTTAATAAGGAAGAATCCTACAATCCTTCGCTACCTAATTAACGTATCTAAATCTATAAGGAAACTAATCTATCTTAATAGATTAATACTCTTGACGACGAAGAGATTAATTAAATCCTTAAGGATATAGATATCCTATTTAACCTTAACTAACCGGTATAGTAAGATCTCGGGGGTGGAAGTGGTAGTAGTCCTACTATCAATATCGATTATACTATACCTATACTAATAGACGAAATCCTCGGAGATTAACTAATTACACCACCGCTTAAACCGAAATCGGACGAATCGATAAGATCTAGCGAATCAGAACTAG